TTATTCGAGGTATTGTTCTTATCATGATTATGCATATACTATAGACGTGCCATCAAAATTAATCGCCATTGTTAGAAAGTTTTTAATAGAGGGATGTCTTGAAACAATGTATCGCGATCCAATAAAGCGGAGATAAAGAATTTCCCACCTAAAATAGAGGCCAATGAACCGTTTAATTAATCTGTTCCCTTTATAATTTTAAGAGACGTTCAATGGTATCTATGATTCCTTGATTACTCCTCGAATATTGAGGCAACACAATTTACCGATTTAGACTTGCGCTAAACAGATGTCGAGAAGGTACGCATAATTTCAAAGTACGTTTTACTTGCCGCACGATTAAACACTAATTTTAGTAGGTAAGTCAAAAGAAAAAAAAAACACACCTATGGTTTAAAACATTTGCAAAAAAATGAAAAATCATTACATTATTCGGACTGTTGTCCCCATCTTTGTCGCCATATTTATTACAACGTTTCGGCCGTTGTACGCTCCGGCCTTCTTCAGGTGGTTGGAATGTCGAACTGAATCCTTTATTTCGCTCACTGGGGTAGGCTGTTCTAGTTCCACGTGCCATGTTTAATGGATGTCAGTTATCTCCTGTTAATTCCTTGAGGACACATGGCACAGTGGATAAAGGCGTTAGTTAGATCCAGTGACAGGACCCAAAGATTGTGAGTTCAATACCTGGATAAAGCAGTGGAGAACTTGGAGAGGGGAATTAACAGGAGATAACTGATAACTGACATCCATTAAACATTTTCCTTTATTACTTGCTATGACTTCCATGATGACGTTGTAATAGAGCCACAGATGCCAAGTGAACCAGGACTCAACTGGCGTTTGATTAGAGAGTTACTGGTTCGATATTTATATTTTTAGAATTTACTGAATAGATGACGTATGTATTTCATTTTTATTTCCTTTGTGCCATTTTTTTCTTGTTTTCCCACTTGTGCCATTTTTACCTGTGTCATTATTACTGTGTGCCAATAAACCCATACCTTGTCCTAAGTGTAGAGAAGGTATGTAGCCATTCAATAGTCATATTAGCTCCGTATAAATGTTCCAGGTACTTTTTCTTTCAAAACTACGAACTGTTCACGCAGTTGGAAACGAGATTTTCGATGGAAACTTTTAAACAAACCTGATAATTCAAAGTAAAACATATTTACTGCGTAAATGATAGAGAACCAAAATGACCGCCAAAGATTATGGAAATCTATTGTTAACTTGGCGCCGGTTAGAGTTTTGAAGAGAAAAGAAAAAAAGAAATGAAAAGACAACAAAGAGGACTTTTTCTTCCAATATATATTTCTTTTTTGGATGTAGAATTGTTAGTCACGTCTCACTCGGCATAGATAGAATCAATTTTGATATTTTGTATCTAAGAGTGTGTTTGGGTGAGAAGGGTGACGAAACCCAAAGTGGATCAACAAAATTCATGTTAAGTAAATATTTTCTGAGTAGAGTAATGAGATTTTGTTGTTTGTTTTTTATTTATATGGTTTCTCTTCTTTTTTTTTTTTAAGAATAACGTTAAAGTATCAACTTTTAAAAGAAAATAAAGCTGGAGGCAAAGAAAGGATAAACGGAAGTGAATTCAAAAGCACTTCCGCTGATGTATCCGGAATCTTTGTTCTGCATCAGCTTCGTTCACTTTTCCAAATGCCGCCAAAAGACCTGGCGACTATTATGAGGTTTCAAATACAATATAGCGTGCACAAGGTACATTAACCGATGAATTAGTCTATTCATGATTTATAAGGTTAAGTTATCAAAAACATTAACATCATCTTATATGGTTCATCAGTTAGTAGAGGAATGGACTCCTTCGACTGTTTCTTGGACATAACAAGTAGTTTTGTACGGACATCGAAGCGAGACTAACTTTGACATTTACACAGCTGTGAATGTATGGAAACGCCAAAGACAACCAGAAAGCAAAACAAGCAATATATATATATATATATATATATATATATATATGCTACTTCGTGGAGCCAATTCCCAAGAGGATGTTTCCTCGATCACTACAATTTTAAGCTGTTCAAGTCTAGGGTCAACCGTTATCTTCTTCACATATCCATATAAACTGTGCCTCTTACTCTGTAACCGTCTACCTCGAGTGTCTCTTCGTTCTTGTACAGGGTGAATATTATTGCAAAACAACAAAGAATATAATTTGTTCTTTCAGACTGAAAAACAGGATTAAATTAAATTTGGCATGATTATAGTTACTCTAATTCATAGCGTGTAAGACACCCCTCCCCGCCAAAAAATGGTCTTAAAAATCGCATTTTTGCTTTAATAAGATGTTGAGTCTTCCCGTTGGCTAATTTTATCCTCCAATGCTCATTGACCATCACGAGTACCGTAGGGTCTTTTATTTTTTTTTTTAAACAAATTTTGAGGAACAGTAAACTCTCTTTCAATTTGTCTCTTTTTATCGTATTTCATCATATACGAGTGATAATAATTCATCAAGATGACTGGCGATGGTACTCGTTATCAAATATTCGCATGTTTTATATTTATTTTTATATTCACGTTTTCTTGTAAACAAACTGATAAAAATTCACAGCCATCACACAATTATGCCTGACTGATAGTAACCCTACACGCAAGCCGCTAGTGGTCCGCCAATGGTAACACTGCCGAGGAAAACACGCCGGCGGTCCGACAGCGGACCACCAGCAGTAAACGCCAGTGGCAGATTGGTGGCTTGAGTGTGGGGGGAAATAGTCTGACACAAGGCGAAGAGAGTGAGACACCCGTAAAGAGCCTGTTAACCACTGCGTTGCAGTAGGTGCCCTAAAACTAAAGGTGACTCCTGCATCCTGCGAGGATTGAGGACGCTGCAATATTGAACGGATTAGTACAAAAATAGCTTGTTCAGCCATCTTTACGCCAGCCAACCTGTTCCGTTGACGTTCCAGTTGTATAAACGAAAAGGAGAAAGACAACGAGTAGCAAATAGCCAACGAATTTTTCTTACGAAGGAATACAACAGACATTCTTTCTTAAGCATGAGAGCCGAGAGGTTGGGTATAAAAAGCAAGAGAAATGAAGGCAGACTATCGTACTGTCTTATTGAAACTCGCAGAACGCAAAACATTTTTGTGCATTTCTTATACATTTGTGTATAATTTATTTATCCCTGTGCTTGCGTGAGTTTTATAGCATTTTTATGTAAATAAAAATCCTTGTATGTGCATTTTTAATCAGTTTAAAAGAAAAAAAAACCATTTCTCACTTTAAAAAATACCTCCCTTGAATTTGTAATTTATTTAATAAACTGAAACTGAACCAGGACAAAAGTTCGAGCGAAGAAATTATTTAAAAATTGTAATAAACAGACGTCAATTAATAAGAGTGATAAATAAATTGATAAATAAATCCGTTTAGAGCAAAAGGCGGGTGGGGGAAAGAGTTTAATAATAAATAAGAAAATGAAAGCAAAAGCCCCCTCACATCGTAAACAAAAAGAAAAGAATAAGATGGAGGTGAGAAGAGCAGGAAAAGTTAATAAGAAAAAAAAAAATTAAAAATTACTTAAGTGAAAATACAAAAGAAAGCAGATAATGCATACGTAAATATTGAAACAAAAATCTGTTGATAAAAAAATAGTAGAAAGAAGAAAATAAAGCCTAAGTATGAAAGAGGGGAAAAAAGTAATACTCCTAAAAGAAACAAGGTTCTCCGTAGAGCAATGGTTAGCAAGTTAGTTTCGCATGTCATTAATATGGGGATATTTAATTTGATTCTCTCTACATTTGTGGCATTGTGAGCTAAATTTCGTAAATATATTGAATTTATATATATCCCAATGACAGAGTGCTTCTCAGCAGGACAATGGTCAATAACTTTCGCAAAGTGGATCCGAATGACCATCATTAAAAGGAAGAGCCCGAAATGCGATTTACAGGTGAGGGGACACTAAAATCAAGCAGGTGCGGAAATTTAAATATTTGGGAAGTGTTTTAATAGAGGACAGCAAGTGCGACGCTGAGATCCATAGACTCAATGGGATAGCTGAAGACACATTCCAAAAGCTAGACAGAGTGTTACGAGACAGGAGGATTTCTTTAGTAACAAAGAAAAGATTACTGAGCTGCTACGTGACATCTGTCCTCCTTTACGTCAGCGAATATTGGACGGTCTCCTAAAAACTGACGAGATATGGTAGAGGTATGGTTCTACAGGTGGCCACTCAAAATGCTAAGGATTATCATGGACCGAGCGTGTGAGCAACGATGAGGTTTTGGAGAGGATGCAGACAAGGAGGAAGCTTATACTTAACATCAGGAAGAGGCAGTTGAAATTTCTGGGACACGTAATGAGAAAGGAGGGCTTGGAGAATCTGATACTCACAGGGCAGACAGAGGGAAAGAGAGACAAGGGAAAGAATTGCATGATATATCTGGCGGGTTTAAGAAAGTGGATGACAGAAGAGGGTCTAGGAGAAGTAGCAAAGGGACAAAACTTATTGAGAGCTACAAGGGATAGGGGGGAGTGGGAGGACATGATCGCCTACGTCCTGGAGGGACACGGCACATAAAAAGAAAAAGTCATAGCGGAATTTCAGAAATAAGTACTTACTGAACCTGTATAAGTCATACAGGAATAAGACACACCACCGTGGAGCAATGATTGGTAAACCAATGTTTTTCAGATCATTACTCCTGTGATAAAGATTTCGATGTGAGGATAACCTAACAGTTATGTGCTCGGAAGTTTTTTTTTACAGTTTATCAACTCTTTGCAGGTTATTTAAAGGCAGATTTTTAGAGTGAATTTTTTTTTAGAGTGTGGGAGGTAATAATGATTTAGTGAAACAAGTCTTATTAATTAACCCATAGCTTAGGGGGAGAAGAGGTGCATTCATAACTTTCCCAAGGGTATTTGCGCGTAAGTGAATATAATGAACCTGACTGGAATTGGAACTCGGCTCTCCGATTAACAATTCAAAGCCGTTGTTCAATACATAACCTGTACATTCAAGTGGCCACCCATCTAGGTACTGGCCAGGCTCAACGTTGCTTAACTTCGGTGATCGTACGGTATCTGGTGCTTCAACGTGATACGGCCGTAAGCCCTTCCTAGTCAGATGTGTATACTTTTTGCACAAATTCTTTGGTAATCAATTACTTCTTCAATTGTGAGAGTTTAAACAGAGGAATAGACTGAGGCACTTTACTCTTGGATAGCAAGGAGGCCTAGGAGGAGGGTTAGCTTGAACTGTGGAGAGAGTAACGGGTGGCCACTCAAAATTGTTTCCAAAGATGTCATAGCAATTCTAATAAAGAAATCTGGGGAGAGCCGTGATCAGCTACGTCATGAATTGAAAGCTTTATGCAAAACAGGCTCTGAAAAGAAATGAGATCAAACAATATGGGTTTATGCATACACACGCGGGTATCGATAAACAAATACCTTCTGTTAATATTAAGGACTTAAAAATATATGCATAAACCTAATCGTAAAGATTTAACAAAATGTGCCTTCATTTTTTTATAACTTTAATAAATTCGCATTAAAAATTACTACTTGACAAATTGGGGGTTTGATTTTATTATTAATATTATATTTAAAGACTCGTACACAAAATACATTACGCCAAATCAGTTACGAGCACCTTACTAAAAGCAACCAGAGTCGATAATAAAAAAGGAATCAGAGGAGAGCCATATTCGCACATGTCATGAAGAAAACGAAAACTCTGAATTCCAAACTGTAAAGGTATCGAAACACTATTTTTCCAAAGAAGTCATGGCTATTCATAGATAATAAAAGAAAAAAGTGTCTGTGGAGAGCCATGATCACCTATGTCCTGAAGAAAAGGAAAACTCTGAATTCCAAACTGTGAAGATATTGGGAAGCCCCTACACTATCTTTTACAAGAAGTCATGGCAATTCATAGATGATAAAGGAAAAGGAATCTGTGGAGAGCCATGATCACCTATGTCCTGAAGAAAAGGAAAACCCTGAATTCCAAACTTCGAAGATATTGGGAAGCCCCTACACTATCTTTTACAAGAAGTCATGGCAATTCATAGATAATAAAGGAAAAGGAATCTGTGGAGAGCCATGATCACCTATGTCCTGAAGAAAAGGAAAACCCTGAATTCCAAACTGTGAAGATATTGGGAAGCCCCTACACTATCTTTTACAAGAAGTCATGGCAATTCATAGATAATAAAGGAAAAGGAATCTGTGGAGAGCCATGATCATGTATGTCCTGAAGAAAAGGAAAACTCTGAATTACAAACTGTGAAAGTACCAGGAAGCCCCTACACTATCTTTTACAAGAAGTCATGGCAATTCATAGATGATAAAGGAAAAGGAATCTGTGGAGAGCCATGATCACCTATGTCCTGAAGAAAGGAAAACCCTGAATTCAAACTGTGAAGATATTGGGAAAACCCTTTTACAAGAAGTCATGGCAATTCATAGATAATAAGAAAAGATCTGTGGAGAGCCATGATCATGTATGTCCTGAAGAAAAGGAAAACTCTTGTTACAGGAAGCCCCTCATCTTTCCCAAGAAGTCATAGCAATTCATAGATAATAAAGGAAAAGGAATCTGTGGAGGGCCATGATTACCTATGTCCTGAAAAAACATAGTATTTAAAAAAAAATAGATAAATGTATCGATAAAAAAAAGCTGGAAGAGGTGAGATTTGTGATTGAACTGCGTATTTACAATCAGAATCGATGATCGGTTTTCAAGAAGAAGTAAAATCAATGATTTTCGCATATTGACTTTTTTTTTTTTTTAAGACTAGCTACTCCTTCCAACTTGGAAAACTGTAACAACACAATCTTCCTGTCTCCCTATCATCTATTTGGCCATGCACTGGATTAAGATATACTAAGTAAATCCCAAGAGGCACGGGGCTGACCCTCCCCTACTTGTAAACTGATGCAACACAATTTTCTCGCCCCCCCTTACTCTCTATTTGGCCATGCAATAAATTAATGTTTCGAAACCATTTTTGTGCCATGCACATTTCTCCCTATTTCAAAATGTCAGTCTCCCTTAATTGTCCCTTAATAAGATGAATTGAGGAATTACAGTTTCTAGAAAGATCAATATTCAATTTGAATATGTAAATGTATGCCCCACACACCAATTGGCCCCTGAAACTAACAATTCAAGACAGAACCACTTACTTGAACAGCCAGTGTAAATTGATGGCGGAACGGAGAGTCGGGTGGATGATAAAAAAACAAAAAACAAAAAAAACACGTTATTAAGAGCTACAGGGGATAGGAAGTTGTGGAGAGCAATGACCTACATCCTGAAAGAACACGGCAGATAGAAGACGAAGACATAGATAAATAGATTCCCCCAATTTGTAAACTGGAAAACCCAATCTATCTCCCCATTTTCTATTTGAGGAAATTCTTGAAAGACTGGCGCAATACAGTCTTGCTTATTCCTTCCTCCACCCATCCATTATGTTGTAAGTAAAGACGAGTAAATATCAAGAAGCAGGAATAGAAAAGATAAAACGTAAGAAATAAAGTAATACATAAATAAATAAATAGAAGAAAAAATATCGACAGAAAAAAAAACAACAATAATTGCTTCCTTTTCACCTTGGAAATTACTTTTTCTGTGATTAGCGTCTCGTCAACCGACGTAGGCATTTTGTAAGCCGTTTCACGTTAAATGAATAAAATTAAAATAAGCAAAAACAAACAAAAAAAAAAAAAAAAAACAAGTTTATTCTATACAAGTGCAATGCTCGACATTTTTTAACGCTAGAGAGCCGCCTCTTTGAATTTTTTCCCCTCTTCTTTTTACACTTATTCAATCGACAAGTGTCTTTCGATATTCAATCGTACAATCAAAAACAAAATATGCGTAAAAACGAAATATTTAAGTTGTCATTCAATTACCCGTAGATAAAAATAAAATAAATATTAAGTGAAAAGAGTAATAGGAACCTATATATATATATATATATATATATATATATATATATATATATATATATATATATATTATTCGTAACAAATAATGGCGTCGTTGACATTAAAAAAAGAACGGGAAGGAAGGAGAAAGATTGAATGACAAAAAGTGGGGAAAAGGTAGGTGAAAACTGCGACAATCTTTTCTTACAACCGGGCGGAGGCAAACAATGTTGAATGAAAAGAAACTCTAATTAGATAAAAAAAAAAAAAACAAGAAAAATAAACGAACATTCAAAATCAATTTACTGCCGATCTTATGAAGAATAAAAGAAATTAACTTACTTTTTCGGCTTTATTAATTTTCTTTGAAAGTAATTATTCATGCATTTATATAGTAATTAATAAAAATCAAGTGAATGATTTTGTATTCTGTGTAAGTATAATATATTTAAAATGCTTTTTTTTACCTTTTTTTTCTTTTTTCAAAAACATAAAATTGGGGTTAATGTTAAAAGTGTAAAAGGGGCTGACAATTAAGTTAACGAAAGTCAAGCGGTAGACATTCGCGTTAATTTCCCGACTCGGTTTTCGGTTTCTTTTACACAAATGTGAAAAGTAATTACATAACCGTATCAGAATAAATAGTGATAGGTTGGAAGACCATTTTCGTATGTCGAGTTTTAAAAAGAATTTACTTTTTCTTCAACGATTTCCAAAATCAGTTATATATATATATATATATATATATATATATATGTGTGTGTGTGTGTGTGTGTGTGTGCATTATATGAGGTATGCTGACAAGTTGTAGGCCCGAGAAAGAAGCCTTTATGAAACAATTTCTGATGTTTGGCTATTTTGATCAGGCCGAGATATTTCAATCCCTAACTCACCGAAACAGGTGTGTATAAGTCTAGCCACACCAATGAGCTGTGATACAGCGAAACAGTCTGTCTGTGGATGACAATATGAGCGGTGCTGACAAGTTCTTGGCCTGAAGAAGGAACCTTTTTCAAAGATTTCTGAAGTCTGGTCATTTTCGCCATATGTTGCTAAGTCGGTCAGGCCGAGGACTTTTCAGCTTCTAACACCAACCCCTATTCATATATACACACGTTTTGTTTTTTTGTTTTGTTTTTTTTTTGTTTTGTTTTTGCTCGTTCTAGGTAATCTAGTCTTCGAGTACTTTACTAAGTAGGTAAATTTGCCGTTAGGCATTTTTTCTCTTTCTTCTTACAGTATTGTTGTTTCTATTCGAAACTGTATCTGGATAAGAGTTTTAGGTTTTGACAATTAAACGATTAATTAATTGAAATGTAATTCCATTTAAATGCAGGTTAGCGTTTAATTTTTAATACAGTGCTCAATAACCCGCGGACAAAGGCACATAGTGTGTGTGTGTATATATATATATATATATATATATATAAAAAGATATTTTTAATGTTTATACATCCGTTTTATAGATACAAATATTTAAGTATTTGCTCTTTTTTAAACAGTATTAAACAACATTTACCGGCCTGAATGTCCGAGGTAAATGTTGTTTAATACTGTTTAGTTTATTATAAGCATTTACTTAAATATTTGTATCTATAAAAAGAATGTATAAACTACATAAAATGTCTTAAAATAATTGTCGGTCTTTGTCCATTTCATTATATATATGAAAAAGCACGACGATATTATTTTATTAATGAAAAAGCCTTGAAAGGAAATCAAATTTGAAAAGAATAGCCCAACGGGAACTGATTTGTATTTTTGTTTTAAAAAGGTAAATAAAATTGGAAAATTGGAAATTAAATCGCGCGGGTGAGAGTTTTCCTTTTCTTTTAATTAAGAGTTTGAATATAAAAAGTACAAGAAGAAAGAAAAAGACTTATTTTATTCAATTTCTTTTACGAAATCAATAAATAAAAAGAAGTGACACGGTAAGGAGGACGTTAATGTATTCCTGTTTTTAATTTCCTCTCTGAAAGGTGTTTAATTCAAATTCTCGTAACAATTCCTTTACCATTGAAGGTAAATTAGCTTCAAAACCTTTCACATTAGCCAAATGAAACCGAGAGGCGGGTAGACAAAATACAAGTGACAGAAACATCACACTGTGAAAGAAAATAGAAAGAAAATCTAAGGGAAATTGCAATAAATAAATAATCTTACTATGTATTT